TGAGAACACAGGTAATCTGTCTCAGATGTTGTGTTCAAGTAAAAAGTCAAATATGTAAAGGAATCTATGCTTGAGTGATTCCTGTGCTCTCTCCAATTTTCATAAAAGATAGATACAGAGCTTTTTGTGTTTCACTCACACAATATAATGTGTCACAGTAAAATGCATTGCTTTGATTATGATCAGGACTTCAATGGATTTCTGACAGAGAAAGTTTATTTCTGTTGCTTCAACATATTATTCTTGAAATGCTATGTGTTGTTCTGTTGGTTAAAATAGGAGCCCCTCCCAAACTTCAGTCACATATTGAACAGTGCAGGAATGCTTAGATTACTAATCTGTGTAAAAAAATACTATTTTCCCTCTTAAGATGGACAGCTGAATTTAGAATACAAAAATACAGCACAAATTTTTTAGTGGAAATCAACTTCTGGATATAAAATAGAAGGCTGTGTTGATGAAGTAAGGACATCTCTGTGATTCAGGTGTTTCCTCCCTATTTTTCAGTTTAGAAATATTATTAGCATTTGTTAATGCTCTATGGAAGTCTACAGCAGTATATTCTTCATTTCTTTATGCAGATATAATCTAAACAAAGGGAAAACAGTATTTTTGTCAAACATTTGAACTATTGTAGATACAGGATGAGACTGTTGAAATCAGTGCTTTGGGACGCAAAATACATATTGGAGGAAAGATTTTGCATAATTAATCAAGTCATCATGTCTACTCAGGTTGCCATAACAAAATATCATAGACTGAGTGGCTTAAACAACAGAAATTTATTTTCTTGCAGTTCTGGGACTAGAAATCCAAGATCAAAGTTTTGGTACATTCTGTTTCTATTGAGATCTTTCTTCCTGGTTTGCAGAAGGCCACTTTCTTGCTACGTCTTCACTTTCCCCAGTGTGCACACACAGACAACACTCTCTGGTGTCTCTTCTTATAATGACACTGATCTTATCAAATCATGGCCCCACTTTTATGACCTCATTTAACCTTAATTACATCTTAAAGATTTTATTTGATTTACAGTCACATTGATGGTTAGGGCTACTACATAATTTGGGGGAACACAATTCAGTCTACAGCATTTTCTTCAGATCCCCAAGATTCATGCCGTTATCTTGTGCAAAACATATTCATCCTTCCCAATAGCCCCCAAAGTCTTAACTCATTCTAGCATCAATTCTACAATCTAACATCTTAGAACACATGTAAATATCATCTAAATAAGATATGGGTGAAACTCAAGGTACAATTCATTCTGAGGTAAAATTCCTCTCTACCTGTGAACCTGTGAAGCCAAACAAGTTATGTGATTCTAAAATACAATGGTGATGCACATATAGGAAGACAGTCCCATTACAAAAGTAAGAAATGGAGAAAAAAGGAAGTGGTGACAGTTCCCAAGCAAGTGCAAAACCAAGCAAGGCAAATTCCATTAGATCTTAAGACTCAAAAATAATCCTGTCTGGCTTGGTGCTCTACCTTCTAGACCAGCTGGAGCAGGAGTCTCATACCCAGATAGATTCACTCTTCAACAAGACAAGGAGGCAGACCTGTTCATCTATGAATTGCTTTGGGGTCATTTTTCCCTTTTCTTATAGAATAGTGCATGTTCACAGCCAAATAGCTTTATGGTCTCATCCCATAGAATCAAAGAAATATGACAGACTTCCTTCATTTTGTCCTTTCTCCAATCCCTTCATTTCAAACTGGCAATTTTTCTACAATGTATAATCCTATCTCTATAACTTGCTTCTGTTAAGGTGGTTGATTAAATTTGTTGTTCACACCTATACTAATCTTCTTATCAAATGGTTGTTTAACTACACCTTTAATGTTCTCTTTAGAACGAGCTTTCTCACCTTTTTGCTTAGGAAACAGCCTGTGGCTGAAGTAAGCCTTACTGGAAAAGGAACAGACTGCCTGGGGATACAGTAATTTCTCATAGACCAGGTAGGAGGTTGTTGCTGTCATCTAGCTGTGATGATTATGATAATCATGATAATGACTATTATGGTGGTGGTTGAGACAGAAACGGGTGCATTTTTCAGCTTGAAGATTAGGAAAGGTTTGTTCAAATCTCCACTTAGTTACTGAAGAGTCTGTGTCATTTTGATCACACTCTTATGTCGATAATGGCTTAGATTGTAAAGGTTTATATTCTTGGAGCTTTATGAATTTACCCTCGTGTGACTATACATAGAGTGAATGTAACCATAATATTTTAAAATAGTTGCAGCATGAGGAATTGTAGTTTTCTATGGTATTATATTTATGGAAACTAGTTACTTTTTAAAGGCATTTGTTAAGAAAGTGTCATGTAAAGTTTAGAATTATGCACAGTTAAAAATGATTTTTATACTATACAGATGTCTTAGTCAGTTTGGGCTTCTATAACAACGTACCATAGACTGCATAACTTATAAACAATTGAAACTTACTTTTCACAGTTCTGGAGGCCAGAAGTCTGAGATCAGGGTGCCAGCATGGTTGGGTTCTGGTGAGAACCCCTTTCCTAGTTGCTGATTGCTGTCTTTTTGCTGTGTTCTCACATGAAAGGAGGGGATAACTTTGGTCTCTTCAGTCCCTTATAAGGGCACTAATCCTATTCATGAGGGCTCCAACCTCATGATCTCATCATCTTCCAAATGTCCCATAAGCCATGTCTTACATAAGGCCACATTTCCAAGATTGAGAGATATAGCTGATCTACCTAATACATAAATATAAGCACAAGCCTCAGGGAATAGAATAAAATGAAGGAAGCTCTTAAGGAATCCACACCATTCAATCTTTAGTCCCATTCCAGGTTTTGTCTATTGGGTCCTGGAACACAGCCTTGAAAATTTGGAAAGAATTGCTATTATCTAACACCTACTATGTGCTATATTTTAAGGCACTTATATATCAGAGTGGCAAGTGCAATTGCTTAACAGTAATGGGAAAATTAAGACTCAGATTAGACAAATTCCCAGTGTTCAGATACATATTAAGTTCCAAGTCAGACCCTTGGCATTCATCTCTTAATATTCATTCCACTGAAAGGCTTAAGAATTAAACTCTGAGAATCTTCCCCAAACTGAGGCACTCCAACTGCCCCACCTCTGACTGTTCCAGTCTCTTGAAGAGCCTGGTGTCTGTAATGCTATGTTATGCATTTCTCAGCTACCACCAGATACTTCTTTGCCAACTGTACCTTCCAAAGATTTGTGTCCAGAATGAGCATTGCACTCACCCCTGGGGCCTTCTGGGAGCGTCTACCATGGTGCTTGGAGACCTGAGAGGAGGTAGACAGGCTTCCAGCCTTTCCAGTGGGGCTTTGACCCCACCAGCATGTCAGATTTTACCAAGTGAGGTCCATGATCACTGCCTGTATCCACCCATAGGAAGGTTGGGTGGCCCAGGAGGACAGGACCATGTTTTTTACTGTGCTTATAGCTGAGACCTGCATGGAGGAGACACATAGTGGAAGTTTGTAGCATGAACCAAGACCAGATATTGTTATTGACCAGGTCCTGAGCAGTGGGAATTTGGAGATGGAAAGAAAAAATTATGAGAAACCAGATGCTTTTCTTCTTTCCTGGTCTTGAGGTCCCCAGACTCTCTTCCTAATATCCTGGAGGTTGAGTGTATATTATCCTACTGAATGATCCATGGAAGGAAGAGAAACCTCAATGGGAAAAACATGAGGCGAGAGGTCCATGTTTCTAGGACATGAAATTAACCATAGAAAGTTCCTCTTTGTGACTTTAGTTTTCTTGAATGGAAACATTATATATTCCTTTTTTTAAAAAAGTGAACATGTTTTACTAACCTGAAAAAAAGGAAATATTTGTTAAAGAAACATATTTTTATATTCTTTTCTCATAAAACAATTTAACAAAATTCTCCATATTTCACAAAATATAGCCACCAAAGGAACAAGAACTCCAGAAACATGTTTGGTGTCACCGTCTATCCCCATCGACATTTTGGCACCAATAGGGTAAAATGTACTTGCTCAAATTCTGCCTGAAGGAGGAGCAATCTTTTAGGGATGCCTTCACTAGCTTCATTAATATCCTTTCTTCCCTTCAACAAAAAATTGAAATAATGGACTAGTAACATAAAAACCATGGACAAAGCTTGTTTAAATTTTTCAGATATGAATTATGTGGAGTGAAAGAATGTTACAATTCTAATAAGGAGCAATTTATATTACATGCTTTTAGCTCAAATAGTAACAATACGTGTGATATACTAAAGATAGTAAAATGAATTATTTATTAATTTGGGAATCTACTCATTTAATGCTCATTTTTAAATAAGAATATCTACTGCTATAACAAATATTTTTGTTAACATGAAATACTTTAAGAGAAAACTGTTGTTTCATCTTTGTGATAACAGCAATCACAACAAAATGCAAAATCACCAGTACACACACGGCATATTTGAAACCCTGGAAAACCATGTAAGACTGTACTAAAGCCAAATAGCTGATGTGTTCTCTATCTGTAAGTGAGAATGCCTAATTGTAATGCAAAAATATTTATTACCCTTTAGATGTATTTTAGTTCAAACTTTTTGATTTTAGCGTTTATTATTGTAAAACAAATAATATTGTAAATCTTCCTGACATATCAAAAATATACCACCAAAATTTGTGGATATTATTTTATTGTGTGCTGTTTTTCTGATTATTTTAATAGCAAATAGACTTTATATATTTGTGATCCTAGTTTTTTTTTTTTTTTAGTTTTAGTTTTTTTTTTTTAGTTTTAATTTGGTTTTTTGGTTTTTTTTGGTTACGTTTTGTGAAAACCACAACTTGATTTTTTTAAATTTTTGAATTCTTTTTCCTTTTTCTCCCCAAAGCCCCCCGGTACATAGTTGTATATTCTTAGTTGTGGGTCCTTCTAGTTGTGGCATGTGGGGTGCCACCTCAGTGTGGCTCAACGAGTGGTGCCATGTCCGTGCCCAGGATTCAAACCGACGAAACACTGGGCCGCCTGCAGCGGAATGTGTGAACTTAACCACTCGCCCATGGGGCTGGCCCCCACAATTTGATTTTGATTTTATAAACTGAAACAATGCTAGGTGTATTAACCAGGTTGGGCTGACATAACAAAATATAGACTGGGTAGCTTAAACAAGATAAACTTTTTTCTCACAGTTCTGGAGGCTGGGAAGTCCAAGATCAATGATTCAGTTCCTGGTGCGACATCTCCTCCTGGCTTCCAGAAGACCACCTTCTTGCTATGCCCTCACATGGTATTTCCTAGGTGCATGCACATGGAGAGAGAAGCAGCTTTGTGGTGTCTTTTCATATAAGGATACAAATCTCATCATGAGAGCTTCACCCTCATAACCCCCCCAACCCTAATTACTTCCATAAAGGTCTTGTCTCTGAATACAGTCACATTGGGGCTTAGGGCTTCAACAGATGAATTCAGGAGGGGACACTAACACTAGGTTAATAAATACTCATATTCTCACTGTGGCCCTTGATTTCTCTTAAGGAATAACCAGTTGCTTTCAGTTATATCCAGCACACTGCACTGCCTAGCAGATTTGTCCATTTCTCTGCTGTTTAGTGTTCCCAGCAGTGGAGGAGTTTAACCTCCTACGGGCTCCTGAACATGGTGGTCATCACTTCTTTAATGGCCTTGAAATCAGGGAAGGTCATTTCTGTTTCCCAGGACTACAGCCTTCAGTCAACACTTGAATTTGGCTCCTTTCATTGCAGAGTCAGAAGACAATTACAGTCATGTGCCACATAATGAGTTTTTTGTCAATGATGAGTCCACATACATGACAGTGGTTCCATAAGAGTAGTACTATATCGCCTAAGTGTGTAGTATGCTATACCATGTAGGTTTGTGTAAGTACACTCTATGATGTTTATACAATGACAAAATCAGCTAACAATGCATTTCTCAGAACATGTCCCAATCATTAAGCAACACATGTCTCTATCTCAAATCATTAGCCCCATAAAAGTGATTAAAGTGCCTTTATGATTTAAAAAATGTAAATGAGACTAGGGCCTACAGTTTTTCTCTTCATCGCTATAACAAATGTAGAATTATCCTGATTCCAGTAGCAACAAGTGACCCACCACCAACACATTCAAGGGAACTAAAGACAACCTGGCTTCAGGAATTTGGGTACCTAAACCTTGGACCTGTGTTCTGCCATGGAAAAGCAATAGCGGTGCACAGGAACTGGATATCTAGATCATGAATTGCAGATACCAGATTCTAGATCCTTCTTCTGACATGCCTCCAACAGTGGGTGCTTGAACCGTCTCCTAATTTTATTCACTCACTTGTGAGGACTCTCATTCTGAGAAAAACTATCCCATATAAACCAATGTCCTCCATCACCTGGTGGTTTATCACATACTACCACTACTTTAGGTTAGAGACATGGTGATCTGAAGTTGCTCAGAGGCCAGCTTCAAAAGGCAGGACCCTTAGTTTGGAAACAGTCCCATGGCATAACTCTATTTCTGATGATGTCTGACGTACATGGATCGAGACTTCTTGTCCATTCCTCGGTCCACCCTTAAAAACCAAGATATATTGAGAGCATTTATTCAGCAAAGTATCGCATTACTTCTTCAAAATCTTTTGTGAAATCATCCTACATGAATATTTCATAATTATATTTGTAGGTTTTTAATTTTTTAATTTTATTAGAATATGTGTATAACATTAAATTTGCCATTTAAACCATTTTAAGTGTATAATTCAGTGGCATTAATTACATTGACAACGTTGTGCAACCATCACCAGCATATATTTCCAAAATTTTTCAACCTCCCAAATAGAAACTTTGTAGCTATTAAGCAATAGCTTAATATTCTCTCCTCCCATTGTCTCCTCCCTTAAGCCCTAGTAACCCCTAATCTACTTCTATCCCTATGAATTTGCCTATTCTAGGTATTTCATGTAAGAGAAATCATACAATATTTATTGTTTGTTTGGCTTACTGCACTTAGCATAATGATTCCAAGAATCCTCCATGTTGTAGCATGTACCAGAACTTCATTCCTTTTAAGGGCTGAATAATATACCATTGTATACATATACAACATTTTGATTTTCCGTCCATCTATTGATGAACACTGGGTTGTTTCTACCTTTTGGCCATTGTGAATAATGCTGCAATAAACATTGGAATATAAGTATCTCTTTGAGTATCTGTTTTCAAGTCTTTTGTGCATATACATGATTGAAATTGTTTGTTCATATGGAAATTCTTTGGTTTGCTTTCTGAGGAACTGCTATGGAGGCTGCATCACTTTATAGTCCCAATAGCAATGCACAAGTATTCCAATTTATCCACATCCTAACACTTATTATTTTCCAGTTTTTAAATTATATCCATACTAGCAGGTGTGAAATGGAATTTCATTGTGATTTTGATTTGCATTTTTCTAATGACTAATGATATTGAGCATCATTTCTTGTACTTATTGTTTTTTGCATATTTTCACTGAAGAAATGTCTGTTCAAGTCTTTTGCCGTTATTAAATTGGATTGTTTGTCTTTTTCTTGTTTATTTTGGGAGTTCATTTATTCTGCATATTAAACTCTTATGAGAGATATGATGTGCAAATATTTTCTCCCATTTTGTAGGTTGCCCTTCACTTGCTTGATAATGTCCTTTGAGGCACAAAAGTTTTCAGTGTTGATGAAGTCCTTTTTGTTGTTCTTTTGTTCTTATGCTTTTGATGTCTTCTCTAATAATCTATTGCCAAATCCCAGGTCGTAGATATTTACCCCTAGGTGCTCTGGTTTTAGCTCATCTATTTATCTTATTGAATCATTATGAGTTAATTTCAGTATACACTATGATGTAGGGGTCCAACCTCCTTCTTTCGCATGTGGCTATCCAGCTGTCCCAATACCATTGGTTGAAAAGATTATTCTTTTCCTGTTGAGTTGACTGGACATCCTTATCAAATACCAATGCATGAGTTTGTTACTGGACTCTCAATCCTATTCCATTTATTTGCATGTCTATCTTTATGCAAGCACCACACTGTCTTAATTACCACTGTTTTGTAGTAAGTTTTGAATTTAAAAGCATGAGTCTTCGAAGTTTGTTCTTCTTGTTCAAGATTGTTTTGGCTATTTTGGTTCCTTTGCAATTCCATATGAATTTAAGGATTGCTTTTCCATTTCTGCAAAAGAGACCTGGAATTTCCATAGTGATTGTGTTGAATCTATAGAACGTTATGACTAGTATTGATATCTTAACCATATTACATCTTCTGGCACATGAGAAAGAGATATATTTCCATTTGTTGTCTTTAGTTTCTTTCAAAAATGTTTTGTACTTTTCAGTGTACAAGCTTTTTCCTACTTGGTTAAGTTTATTTCTAGACATTTTATTCATTTAGATGCTATTGTAAATAGAATTGCTTTCTTAATATCATTTTCATATTGTTCATTGCAGGGGTATAGAAACATCACTGATTTTGTATGTTGATCTTGTACCCTGTAACATTGTTGAATTCACTTATTATCCCTAGTAGATTTTTGTGGATTCTTTGGGATATAGAGGATTATGCCATATGCATTCCTTCTATATCATTTTATTCAGAGTTTTTATCATGAAAGAATGCAGTATCTTGTCAAATGCCTTCTCTGCATCTATTGAGATGATAATGTGATTTTTATTCTTCATTTTGTTAATGTGGAGTATCATGTTGATTGCTTTGCAGATGTTGAACTCTCTATGCATCCACAGAATAAATCCCAGTTGATCATATTGTATCATATTTTTAATGTATTGCTGTATTCAATTTGCTAGCATTTTGTTGAGGAATTTTCATTTATGTTCATCAGTAATATTGGCCTGTAATTTTTTGTGTCTGTTGTCCTTGTTTGGTTTTGGTATCAGGGTAATCTTGGCCTTGTAGAATGAGTTAGGGAGCACCCCCTCCTCTTCAATTTTTTGGAAGAGTTTGAGAAGGATAGCTATTAAGTCTTCTTTGAATCTTCATTAGAATTCACTGGGTAAGCCATCTGGACGTGGACTTTCATTATTTTTGGAGGTTTTTGGTTACTATTGTGGTTTCTTTACTAGTGATCAAGCACATCAGAGTCTCTATTTCTTCCTGATTCAGTTTCGGAAGGTAGTATGATTCTAAGAATTTATCCATTTCTTCTGGATTATCCAATTTGTTGGCATATAGGTTTTCATAATATTCTCTTATAATCCTTTGTATTTCTGTGGTATCAATTGCAATTTCTTCTCTTTCATTTCTGATTTTATTTATTTGAGACTTCTCTCTTTTTTTCTTGGTGAGACTAGCCAAACATTTGCTGATTTTGTTTATCATTTTAAAGAATTGGTTCTTAGCTTCATTGATTTTTTCTGTTGACTTTTTAATCTCTATTTCTTTTATTTTTATCTGATTTTTTAAATAACTCACCTGCAACAGACTTTTTTTTAGATTGGCAGCTGAGCTAACATCTGTGGCCAATCTTTTTTTTTTTCTTCTCCCCAAAGCCCCCCGTACATAGTTGTATATTCTAGTTGTGAGTGACTCTAGTTGTGCTATGTGGGATGCTGCCTCAGCATGGCCTGATGAACAATGTCCTGTCTGTCCTCGGGATCTGAACCAGTGGAACCTCAGGCCACTGAAGCAGAGCACACAAACTTAACCACTTGGCCATGGGGCTAGCCCCTGATTTTATTTTTATTATTTCCTTCTTTCTACTGATTTGGGGCTTTGTTTGTTTTTTTTTCTACTCTTTTAGGTCTTCTATTAGATTGTTTATTGGAGATTTTTCTTGTTTGTTGTGATAGGCCTGTATTGCTATAAACTTCCCTCTTGGTACCACTTTTGTGGTATCCCATAATTTTTGGTATTTTGTGTTTTCATTTTCATTTATCTCCAGATTTTTTTATTTCTTCATTGACTTAATAGTTGTTCAGTAGGCTTTTGTTTACTCTTGACATATTTGTGGCTTTTCCAGTTTTCTCCTTTTACTTGTGGTCAGAAAAGATGCTGGGTATTATTTCAATCTTCTTAAATTTATTAAGATTTGTTTTGTGGCCTAATATGTGATCTATCCTGAGTATTTTCCATGTGCATTTGAAAAGAATGTCAATTCTACAGTTTTTGGATGGAATATTCTGTATATATCTACTAAGTTCATCTGGTCTAATGTGTTGGTTAAGGCCAATGTTTCCTTATTGACCTTCTGTTTGATGACCTATCCATTGGAGTAAGTGGAGAGTTAAAGTCCTGTACTATTA